GAGTTATCCAGATTGAATTATTTGACTGCAACACGTGGCTATGAAACGTGGATATGATGAACTTAACTATTGGATTTTGATCCAATGGAAATGTTCAATTGAGCATCATCATCATAATGAAGGCCTTTTTTTTTTGTTAATTTAAGTGTCCAAACTGGTATTGGCTTAGATTGGGACTTTTAGGACGAGTTTACTAATGTGACATCACTACAACAAAATAACCTTTAACGGCATTTAAAAGTGTTAGTATAAATAATCTAATCTGACACTTTACCTTTCCTCACATCTTGAACGAGTGTCATCCCTTCCAATGTGGGGATAGGCTCGTAACATCTAAATGTGTTAGGAAAACTATGCTGTTATAGCATCCCATCTGCCAACAAAAATTTCTTTTCTTGATAATCGAAAGTGTCAGGATAGCTATAGTACAACATTAGGATATCGAATTCTATGCTGACACTTTTAACTGCCAGGAGTATTTTTTTTCTTTGATATAGAAACAACCTGCAGGTAGTGCTCCCTACCATACATTCCGTCAATCAGAAACCCAATGGACTAGTAAAATTATCCCAAAGAACAGCATGCATATAGTAATCTAAAAGCAAAAGTCAATGCTCAAATATACTTTGTTGAACTAAAAGTCAATAACAAGTACTAACATAGCAAATCCCTAACAAGGACAAACTTGAAAGATTCTCTTGTGCACAAACTAAAAGATTCTCTTCCCTAACAAGTAAAAAGAACTTGCAGTAGCTTCCAAACTTTCCAATGAAATGAGAACCTTCAGTCATAACCACGAATACCCCATCAATCTTCAGCTGGTTCATTTGTGCACAAAGTTTGTTGGGATCATTAGATCATCCTAGCTAGCAATAAAATTCCATAAAAGCCACAATGTAAGTAAGTGCATATATTACCAAATGACAAGGCCAAGCAATTGGTGCACCAAGTGCATCTTGAATTGTTTGTTGCAAATTATATGGTCTAATCAATTGGTTACTTGGACTCATTGCAACTTGTATCTGTATTTCATACCAGTTTGGTCCAAGAGCTTGTCCCCCGACCTCATCCAATGTGGTTCCGAAGATGAGCAAATGACTTTTTTCCGGTTGTGTGGTTCATCTTCTTTTCCCCTCTAGCTTTCTTGTTCCTCTCACTTAGTTTCTAAATTTCAAAATCATAATCAAGATTACAGCATTGAATAAACACAATTTTATTAAGAATGTTGTAGCTGATTTGTACCTTCGCTTCTTCACTTTTCTAATAAGTCCAAAGTTTTATCCATTGCTCTTCCTGAACCCTTACATCCTTTGAAACCGAGCTTCAGCATTTGGCACAATAGGATCAAAATATGTAGCCTTTAAATCTACCTTCCAGCTTCTCCATTTTTTGCCAATAGATCTTAAGGTCCAAGCTTCCAGTCCCACAGGCAAAACAAACCTTTTCTGAAACATAAATAAGAACAAGAAAATTAACATAAATTCACAATACATTTTTTATAAAGTATACATAATACAAAAGCCACCATTACCTTTTATGAAAAAATTCATTAATGTGTGAAAAGCATAAGGAACCACTTACAAAAGCTAATCTTCAGTGTAGTTTGTATGTCTCTCGCATATCTTAGTCCACTTCTTGAACCCATTGACAGAGCATTGTGCAGTAAAGATTGCTGTTGCAGCTAAGAGAGACGGGGGGAACCTAAGCATTTCATACTCGAGGAGACACGGCTCAACGATAAAGAAGGACAGAAGCTCCAACTTGTCATCAGAAGATTATTGTCAGTTATTAGGCAGATCAAGATAGTGCAAAAAATTCACATACACTAAATACGAAACAATACCTTTTAATACCTTTTATTAGATTGAGCAGCTTTAAGAAAGTGCCTCATGAAAACATAAGGAGTAGGCACTGAAAGATTAAACTGCAAGGTATTGATCATTAAGCTCTCCTGCAGCGAGTCACAGTTCAATTTTAGTTATATGACAAAGGAAACCTTCATATATCAAAGATCAACTCATAGACAATAGATGTCATAACAAACCTACTATCTCAAGCATGTCATTTCTGGAGTAAGCCCTGTCAGAAATCAATATGAGGTCTTCAACGACAGGAACAGAGACTTCTTCATACTTACAAGCCAGAAGCATTGCTGTCACTGCAACAAGTTGAAGTTTCTTGCGTACCACAGAGACTGTTTTTAAGAACCTATCTATTAGATTGAAAGTCAAATACAAGGTCTCATCCATCAGTTCAAACTTGTAATGCACCTGTACATTCAGAAGTACAGTGTTAGCCGCAACCTTTTTCTTACTTCTGACAGTTCAGAATTTGTAGGAATGCCAAAGTAATGCGAAATTATTTCTTTACCTCTATCAGCCAATCAATAAGAATGTCCCCCTCATCCTCTCATTGATGTCAAATTGCCGTGCCATGTAGTTAGATGGGACACAGCTAGATATCTACATGCGAATAATGAAATAAAATTGAAATAAAGATAAGAGTCTGTCGGCAAATGAGGGATCAAATATCTGCAAATCTTTTTTTTTTTTTTTTGGGGCAAAAGCTGCAAGACATTACTGTCACTTCTTTCAAACACTACCATATATCACAATTAAGAACTGGTTGTTACTTTTTTTTTTTCCCTCTTAAGCAGGAATTAGAAGAAATCTGTAAAGACAACAGTGCTCAATTCGAGTAGCAGTTAGCAAAGATGCTTCTGTTTGTTTTTTTTTTGAGGTAAAGACCACTTTTATTTTATTGCCCGTAACACAAACTTACAAACTGAGCATAGGCCGGTCACGCAGATAGTCCTTTAATAAGTCTAAGAGAAGGAAAACCTAGTTTGTCCATCCTGACTGCCTCTCTAGCTAGCTGTGGAAGGGTGTATGCTTGGTCATAAACCCTAACCGGGTCATGCGGATGCAAGAGACTCAAAGATGCTTCTATTAAATCAAGTGAATAAATTCAAATTGAATAAACTAGGTTCTCTCTTTCACTGGCCTATCAACATGTATCCTTGTAAGACTCTTTCACATGAAGTATCTGGTGACATGAGATTTATCTGTAATCACTTTTCTAAGATTCACTAGTTTCTCGGTTATCTACTTGACATTTTATCGAACAGGTTATGGACAACAAATCCGTAACAAAATAGTCGCACGAATCAAGTAGACAACCGAGAGGAATAAAGCTGAACAACAAGTGCACTCAAATCATAAACTATTACTACATCCATTTCAATCTCAAACAGATGGGACTAATTTCAAATGTAATCAATTTAGGGCAAACTTTAAAACTTAACCCTCTCAATTCAACACAATACAGTACACAGTTTCAAGAATAGCTAATAATGCCCAATAAAATCTCAAGAAAAAAAGGGAACAACTTGAAGAATGGAAAACTTCTTTACGGTGACATTTAGCAAAAGCATTATGTAATTGCTCACAAAATTTAAAAAAATTACCATGCAATTACGTACCTTCAATGGGAAAGTAAGGAAAGTTTGTTTGCAGGGAGATTTGGCCAAAAAAAAATCCAAGTGTTTTGGCGTTCGAGATAATTTGCAGAGGATAGTTTGTTGCGGAGAGAGTGTTTCTTGTGAGAGAGATAAGAAGAAGCAAAATTTGACTAAGTGTTTTGGCCGGCAAAATGAAAGTTTTAAGCAAATGAATCTTCCGTCAATTCACTACGATGTTGTTTTGTGCCTTTCCTTCTTTTTTTGGTATATCTCATATTTTCTCAAGTGTCATAATAGGTAGTTTAAAGGTAAATTATTATTCTTATATTAGATAAAATAAAAAAAAATTAATGTATACATTATTGAGTTGATAATAAGTGTCATAATAAAAGTACTATAATAACACAAACCAACAAGTGTTCTTATAGGCATATCAAGAAAAGCCATTTTTGTTGTAGTGCGTATAGAGCTAATTCCCTTTAAGCTATGGCAGGAAGTGAGATAGTGAGCAAGGTAGAGACGCATGTGGAGACTGTGACCAAAGAAGATGTGCTTCGATTTCTGAGAAGCAGAAAAAATATGGACGGTGGAAAGAATTAATCATTTTGTGCTTTTCTGGTATATTAATTTATATTACTTTATATAGCTTTATGTTAATGTTCTCGTTCGTAGTTGATTTGGGTAGATTGGAAAGTTTTGGTTTGAATCTTCGCTGCACTGGATTCATAACCCTGTGATCTTGGTTTCTCGTACTAAATCATATTGTAGCCGATGCTTTTCAAACATGGTTTTAAAAATTACAGATTAGAAGCTAATTGTCAGCTCTGACATTGTAGTGATCTTTGCCTCCTACACTTTTCAGTACCCAAAAAACAAAAAAAGAAAACAAAATAGAACTCTTCACTTCCTAGGCTATATATGTATGTATGTATGTATCACATAAATCTTGTGCATTATTAGTGCGGTGAATAAAATAAAAAATTTTCAAAATCTTCTTTAGACCAGCTAACTCTATAGTCAACAAATTAGGTTAGATCAATCCGAACTTGACCTGTCCACTCAATTCAGAAAATTCAAACTACACAAATCTCTAAGCATCTAGCTTTGGAGAAATATGGGCTCAGCCCTGATTAAGCCGGCCTACCAATCATTTTAGTTATAAGTATTCAAACCTTATTTTTGTATAAGTTTTTAAGAGTAATAAAATAGTGTGCTAATATTTGTATTACTTTTTAGGGAGTTTCATATCCATAGTGAAATTTAGGGCTTCTTGTATTTGCAACAAATCCTTAATGAATGCTAGTATAATTAGAAATCTGATGGTTGAACTTAGAAGTTATGCTGTGTTATGAAAGTTTAAAAACAATGACAATAATAAGAATAACAAACTATTTTGGACTTTATTAGTTAGTACTATTATTGATGGAAACTGTATGATAAGAGAATGTATTGATAACATTTAATTTGATAAGATCACTATTTTTTTTTTTTTTCAATTAAGAGTCCCTTCTGAATTCCTCCGAATCTGCTAGCAGCCAAAATGGTAGAATTATACGATCGGCAAAAGGATAAAGTTGAGTCAACCAATCAGCCTAAACTATACAGAGCTGCAATGGAAGGGAATTGGAAAGACGCTAAAGCCATCTTTGATATTGACAGAAAGGCCAAGACAAGAAAAATCTCCAACCTGGGCATGACTGCCCTTCATGTGGCGGCGAGCTGTGGCCAGTCAGAGTTTGTGGTGGAAATGGTCAAGAAACTAAGTAAGAAGCAGCTTGAAGGCAGAGACACACATGGCTGCACTGCTCTGCAAATGTGGGGGCTGCCAAAGCAATGGTGGAGAAGAACTCAGATTTGCCTCACCTTGGGGAAACCTATAACCCATTTGCTGCTAAATGGCGACATCCCTCAGACGACAAGAAAATGGTGGATTATCTCCACCAAGTTACTGAGGACAAAGAACCTTGTTATCCCTTCACGGGTTATTCATCTGCTGATCTCATTGTGGCAATCATTTCTTCGGGGTCCTATGGTAAGCCCATATAGGATAGATTCCATTCCATCGAACATTTTCTTTACTTTTCTTTAGATCTAAAAAAAAAGTCTATATATAAGTACAATTTACTGAACAGAATAAATAAATAAAGGAACAACAACAGGACATGAAGCTTATGAAATCAACACAAAATATTAGTAAGAAGCTTATGTGAGGAACAAAGACATAAATTCATGGACAAAATTCTTAACAAACTTTCAAATTTGATGAGGGAAAAAACATAAATTTCTAAAACTTGGGTTTGGGGGTGGTTGCTCTCAATATCCCCACTTCCTTCCTTGCCTCTGAAATAATAAGGACCTTTTGCAGATACAGCTTTGAGTACGCTCAAGAGATATCCTGCATTAGCTCTTGAAACAAATAATGAAAGTAAGTCCATACTTCGTGTGCTTGCAATGCAGCCTTTAGCATTTCGGAATGGACATAAACTTTCTTTATGGAAATCATTGATCTATGGGTGTAAGTACTCTCTCACAAAAAAAAAAAAAAAGTAGATAAACTCTCTTACTGCCTCTTCCTGAGATTTTCTGGTTTGTATATGATATATTCTAGAAAATTTTTTTCTTTATTTAACTTTGACAAATATCTACTTGAATCTACGTTTAGTTAAAGTAATTAGAAATTCTATTTGAAATGTAATAAGTATTTCGAAGACGGAAAAAGAATTACCTTTGCCTCTCTAGATTCCAAGGTAATGGAATTTAGCAAATGTATAAATGTGAAGTGGAAAATCAATACCTTACTGATATCTTGCTACTAATTAACAACTCTTCTTTAATGGAGCCAAGTTATGGACTTAGGTCCAATTTTATTTTTGTGTGCTTGAAAACTATTATTAATTAAGTTAAAAAAATTTCTCCCCCAAGTGGGATGCCTAATGGGAAACACAAAATAAAGATGTTTACCCATATCAAATATAGTACTTCTACCTCTCAGATGGCTCGAATTTATCAGTACTGACTATCAACTCCACTGCTACGGAGTACGATCTTGATTTATTTTATCAGTTCCCAATTTGTGTGATGTTATTCTAATTTTCCATTGCTTTTAGTGGTGCAAGTTGATGCGGAGGAAACAAAACACAAAAACTTCCATTCACCTGCAGATGTTGCTAAAAGCACAGCAGTTTCATTCTTCGTATTTCTGAGCAAGTTCAGTAAAGGTATTAAAGTTTTGTGTCTGCTTTATCTTTTTTTATAACTTTAATTTGTTTTGGGGGAAAATAATGAAACAGTACATGATATTAGTTCTTTTGCCACTATGTTGGTTTTCCAAACAACTTTTTACTTTTCCAACATGTTATCTCACTTAAAGTACATCAAGAAAAAATACTACACCATTATTCTGTAAGTAAGGTTTCCAACTATACTTCATTTCAATGCAAACGTAAATCTTTTGCATACTTACTTGGCTTGTCTTTCTACTTGACGCACGAATAAGGGAGCTGTCGGAAATAAAGAACTTAAGACTTGTAGATTTTGTCTGCGAGGAGATAGAAGAGAAAGATATCAATTTTGTTCAGGAATACTTCTTCCCCAATGACAATACCCCAATCTTACACTTAGCCATAGAGCATGGAGTTTTTCAACTTGTACAAGAGTGTTTAAATCGTTTTCTTGATCTAATTTGGTATGCAGACAAACATACCGAACGGTTGTTATTGCATGCAGCTATTGAGCATCGTCGAGTGGAGATATTCAATCTCATGGTTGCTTTGATCGGAAAAAACACAAAGGCCCATGCCCATTTAAACGTTGAAGGGGCAAATAATTGCCTTCATTTGGGAGCAAAATTGGCTTCTATGCCTCAACTCCATTCTGTCCCTGGTCTTGCATTTCATATGCAGAGAGAATTGCAACGGTTTGACATTGAGTAGCAGCAGTGTTGATTAGACGTGAAAAGATGGCAATTATGTGAAGGAGAAATAAGAAATGAAAAAAAAAGCATAAAGACATTGTAAATTAATTATTATATAATGATGAAAATGACTTTACACAAACTGGAATTAAAATAGTAATTGATATGGAAGAGGTCATAGATTCTGGAATAGAATCCTCAAGAAATGCCGATTTGTAAGTAAACCGGGAATGAGGATCAAGAACACAAAGGAAATATATTCCAAAGCTACCTTCTGTCCAAAGTCACAAATACTCTGACCAAATTGATGATGGAACTTGTTACATTTTCTGAACATGAAGTGACCCTGTTAACTGCTAGCGTAAAACAGCACTTAACATGGCAAAACGGTTTTACTAAAACCCGTCTAAAACGGCAGACCATCTCTCATCGCTCAATTTCTGAAGAGAGTTTTTGATTACTCTATCTGCCTGTATTCTATCACAAGGCTAGCCTGGAATCCATACGTTCACAAGGGAAGAATATTCATCCTTACAGCGTATTCTTAAACTAATCACTGCAGCTCCCGGTGGCTTGCTTGATAATCTGCCAAGTTTTTTGCATGGCCAGACAAAAGATAAAGGGTGAGAACCGAGAAATGAATGTAGCAATCACTCAATAGATTCTCTTAAAGCTAGTGTAGTATGCTGGTGATAAAGTTGCATTGCAGAAACCAGTCAATCCCAGAAAAGAGCAAATTAATGTACTTTTTTTTGTCCTATGTTTCTAAACTTTATTCCAGGCTTATCTAATAACGCCAATACAGGAGACATTCCTTATGTAAATTAGAGACAATCATCACTTAAAATTAACTAAAAATTTAAACTTCTGAACCAAAATAATTTTTCTCTTACGATTGTGAAACAGCCTTCTCTTTGGCCCCTGGCAGTATTAGATTAATTTTCTTATATTATGCGGCTCATGTCACGGCGTCTTGATTGATAATCCACCAAAACTTCCGACCTGCCCAGAGGCCCCAGTTCAGAAGAAAAGGGTGAGAACTGGAAAAATGAACGTACCAGATTCCTAGACAATTCCTAAAGCTAGTACTATGCTTTTGCCCTATCCTGTGTCTCTTAAATTTCAATCCACGCTTAGTAAATTACTTTAATACTGAAGACTATCCTCATTTTGTTTAGAGACAATATAACTTAATCTTCGTACACCCAAATTATCTTTTTTTTGTAACTCTATGTCGCAAAAAACATTCAAATAAAATTCTTTATATATCTACACCTTAATCAATCTATCCTACCCATTCTTAAGTTCCTAGTGTATATGGAATTACTTCATTATCTAGTACTAAATCAATGAGTAGGCAAAAGATAATTAAGCTAATAAGAACAGCTTTCATCATGTTGGAATAATTCATCATCTCAGATGCTGACCAATCCTTTCATCCATAAACATCAAAATACTAAAAGAAGAAAAAAACAGAACATCCCCTGCCATGATTATGTGGTGACCAGACAAAATTAAAAGCTCTTTTTGTTTTTGGAATACTCTTTTTATCAGCAAAATCTAATTCCAAAACTTAACCCTGCAACACTCAAGAGATCATTCCTAACAATGTCACATGAGTTGAAGTACTTTTGATTCGAGCATGTACAAAAGGAATGCCCACTTTTTCTTTTATTTTCTTTAGGGTTAATTTACCATACCTCCTCTGAGGTTTTTGACAATTACAGAAAGCTCCCCTCAAGTTCTAAAAATTACACCTACCTCCCCTATTTTCACTTTTAGGTAACATTTTAGGTCCAAAAGACTATACTTTTTCTCAAAATTCCTAGAATGCCCTTGAGTTATAATTGATAACAAAAATGTAAAAGAAAAAAAATGGTTCACAATTTCTATTTCATTTATCTTTACTTACTATCACTATTACCTATCCATCAATATTCAAATCACCATTAAATAAATACTTATCTTTGTTTTAATGTGCCTCTTTTACCTCAAAATTACTGATGCAGACCATTGTATCAACTATAAACGCTACATCAGATGTCAAAAAGCTTACTAACAATCTCATATCAATATCATGTTTTACTTAATACACAACAATATTCATCAATATTTCTAAATTTCAAATCTATAGCTACCACCTTTCTAATACGAAATAATCTAAGCCATCACTACTAATATCAATATCCAATATACTCCATTGGCACATAGTTTGAAATCAATCAAGTTCTCTCTATAGGAATAACATCAATAATTGTAAATCAAAAATAGAAACACAATGCAGTTATAAATATATACCAAGAACACCTTTTTTCATGACAACCATAACAATATAACCTATACTTAGTTTCTATTCCACTTCCTATCCTTAACTTTAATTTTTTTATCGCTGTCACTATCTTCATTTCCATCTAATTTGGCAATGAAATTAGCAGTCAATTTGTCATTTGACAATTTCAATTTGCTAATGCATATCAAAAATTGGAAACAAAAACGGGTGCAAGGAAACCATTTAATAATAATGGAAAATCGAGAATTGGAAATAGATACCAAGATATGTATGTATTGGTGGTTTGGTGTGTATGGTGATTTTATTAATGGGGACAATACACAATTGGTTAATAATAATAAATAAATGCATTTAAAAGGAAAATGTAAGTAGGAGAAAAAGGATAGATAGTTAAATGGGAAAAACTGTCGTTTGAATTATTAGTTGATAATAGATGAGAAAGATTTAATATTTGATAGAATTTTTCAATGAGTTAACAATTATTGAAGGGCATTGTTATCTTTTTATCACACCATGAGAGGTTTCCATAATTACATAAATCTAAAGGAGCTTAATGAAATTATCAAAAATTTCAGGGGAGGTTTCTGAAATAATCCCTTTTTTTAATCTATAAATTTGTCAAAACGTGAAACTTGATTATCATGAGTAAATGGAAGAAAGGCTGACCAAAGAGAACAAAAATCATTATTTATCGGGATGGACGATCACGTGAAGATTTTCATAATATGATAAAACGTGGCAGGAAATAGTGTTTTGTGGTTTTATTAGAGTATTATAAACCAAAGCTCCATAATTTATTCATTCAGCTTACCTGACGTTGTATTTGAGTAACAGAAAATTTTCTTTGAAATGGAAAAAAAAAAAAAGTAGGAGAAGACCAAGCCAAAGAACAATAAACAAAATACAAGAATGAGACGCGAAAGGTTGACAATAGTTCACTAGATGAATTTTGAAGCATCTAAAATTTAAAACAGCAAATAAGAGGCGGTATGACATGATTAGATGAAAGATCAAAGCAGTTACTGTCTTTCATTCGAATTTGTTATAACAGATGCAGCGAAACAGAAGAACAAACAAGAATGGACAAGAACAACTTGGGGAAAATCAGATTTTATTAGGGTTGTAACCGGAATAGTTTACAAACTAATATAAGGTGTATATATATACAACCAAA